ATGTTCAACCCAAGAAATATGTATAATCGATTTTGATTCAATAAATAAAATAAATTATTAAAAAATAAATAAATAAATAAATAATTAAAAAAACATTATTACCAAACTACAGTAATCAAAACATTATGATACTGGCATAAGGACAGATATATGAACCAATGGAATAGAATAGAGAGCCTAGAAATAAACCCTCATGCATATTGTCAAATGATCTTTGACAAGGGCGCACAGGCTACATCATGGGGAAAGGATAACCTCTTCAACAAATGGTGTTAGGAAAACTGGATATCCACATGCGAAAGAATGAAATTGGACCCTTACTTCATACCATACACAAAAATTAACTCAAAATGGATTAAAGACCTAAAACATAAGACCTGAAATTATAAAACTCCTAAAAAAAAACATAGGGGAAAAGCTTCACAACACTGGATTTGGCAATGATTTCTTGCAACCTAATAATACATCAGTATAGATATAAAATAATTTGTTTGATTTTCAATTATTGTTGGAAATTTAGGTTATTCTCCATTTTTTCTATAACATATAGGTCTATGTTAAATATTCCTACGTACACATCTTTGCACCATTTCTACAATGGAGAATTTTGGTGTCAAAGGGCATAAACATTTTATTTTATTTTATTTTATCTTATTTTATTTTTAGTTTTCTACTGAAGTTTAAGAATACAACAAGTGATGTTCAGATTTAGGCAAATGTTAGAATTACACTGAGCAATATATAACCAATTATGCAGTTTTCAAAGTATGAACTACCTGTAAAAGCTAAAAGGACACATGAGGGTACTTCACAAAGTTCATGGAAAGATTCGTGTTATCTTTCAATTCTATTTTTCCATAAACTTTGTGAAGTAACCTCATATATAGTAAAAAAATTTTCTAACTTAAAAGACATGCAGTAAATAAAAATGGATTAAGTCTCAAGAATACCTGCTTACACATAAATTAAACAAAATCAGAATAAACACTCAACTTTTAGGAGAGCCGATTTCAATCCTGGTTTTACCACTTAACAGGAGCAGGATCTTAGGTGGGTTTTTGTCCAAGGATGATTTGAAAATTTATAATACTACCTTAAATCCCACTAAAATAGACTCTTAAAGATCTTCTCACACCTACTAGAAGTTGGGGAAATTACAATTTGAGAAATAAAATGATACAGCTCCTCACATTTGTTAAGACCCAGGTCACAAGCAGTCAGCCAAATCATGCCTCAATTCCCAATGACTTCAGTTAGAAGCCACTTGCCCTGAAAGATAACCCTTTTTCTCTTATCCCACAACACTCTACTTCAGCTGGGGCAAAGAATCCCATGACACTCTACCAGGGCTACAGCATGAAAAAAACACAACCTTTTATGTGGCACAAACAGGATCAATTTTAAAGTTGATTAAAGAGTATTACAATTCATTAAAGAAAATAATATGCTTAGTCTACACACATTTAATTTATTTTAGTTACTTAGTTATTATTATTTTGGCAGCTGGCCAGTACAGGGATCTGAACCCTTGACCTTGTTGTTATAACACTGCACTCTAACCAACTGAGCTAATGGGCCAGCTCTACTTAGTAAATTTTGAATTGGCTCCCATTAGTGGTAAATAGTAAACTTTGTATTTGGCATAGAAACCTAATAAATTGGGCTTTTACCTTGACAGTACAATGTTTACTTGTGTGCAAGGTAGGATATGAACATTTAAAATTTTTTTGATATACTATTAGCAAGTTGCTTTTAGAAGTCTAAACCGATTTATACCCCTAGGGTATGAGCCTGCTTATTCACTGCATCCTTATTATCATTTAGCATTATGGCTTCTAAAATATTTACTAACGTTATTATTGAAAAATAATATGTTACTGAAATTTTCTTACTGTTTTCATGAAGCTGTGAGGCAGAAACCAGCATCTCACGAAAACTCCATTCCAGTAAATTCAAACCACACCAGTAAAGTGTTCAATTTTAATATCATAATCAAGAACATGAGTTTAAGCTCACAAAATTGAACAAATTTCTAAACCTACTCCAAAGCAACAGGAGAGACCTTATTTCTGGCAATCTAAGGAAAGGATGTAAACTGCTGAGGGCAGCCTAGCAAAGAGATGCTGAGCATCAAGATAAAATGTGCTAGAAATCCTAAGGACTCATCTTCATTTGCCAGCTTTCTATATTGGGCAGAGAAAAAAGATGGCCATAGGGAACACAGCAAGTTACAGTCCTTCCTCTCTCCCTGCCATTGATGAAGAGCTGAATTACAACCCAAAAGACATTTTTCAATTCAAAAAGCACCTGAAACAGAATTATTCAACTTCTAGTACCATATAAAAGAAATGCTTAGGCATAAGGGTTTGGAGTTAAACCATGGTGCCCAATGAGCAGGGGGGCTGGGAAGAATAAGTCAAAGGGTAATCCCCTTCCTTCTTGTGGTGAATTTTAATCTAGACACCTGAAAGCTGGGATCAAGCGTAATCTACATTTTCACACAGGCTGAGCCCTATCAATGGTTGGTTTGGACTGAGATGACCTGGGTGTGGCCCCCCTGTTGCTATAAGTGAGAGGGCACATAGAAACCACCTTTGCATATGCAGTGGTTTCAAATGGCAGATGTCCCACACCCAGGTACCTTCATGATCTTAGTTCAAGCTCTGGACGGTGGCCTTCCAAGTTTGAAAACCTGATTGATGTTGCTAATATGCCCAAAGCGGCTTTGTCTTTTGGGAGCTAACTTTCATTAACCAAGCTCAAAGAGAGTTGTACAAACCAGAATGCTAGTTATTATGTATATTTACAAGAGAAACCAAAAAACAATCAAAAAGGTTGGCAAGAAGCATGGGACTCGAACAAGGGAAGGCCGGAGGACTACCTGAGAGGTCTTCTCCACCAAGAGTTACTGAAGGCATGTGTGCATCCCCAACCTGGGATAGACCTCAGCAGTTTATCTCTCCTCATCCTTCTGAGCTCAGCTCAAATATCTCCTCCTTAAGAAGGCCTCTTCGACTTCCAGTATAGGCTTCCCCACCCCCACTCCCACTTACACATTCTCATTATACCCTGCATTTTCATTTAGGCTTACAATTTCAATTAAACAATTTTATATGCTCTGTTGTTTACTATATTTCAGTTTTGTGAGAACAAGGGCTATGTCTGCCTTGTTCATTGCTATCCCCAATCTATAGCGTAGTGCCTTGTACAGAACACAGCATTCGAATACTTGTGGAAGGGAGGAATAGCAGGACGGATAACAGAGCATGATGACTGCACGTCCAGCATGGAAACAGCCTTGCCAATGGGACTTGGAGTCCCTAAGCCAAGATTTTGATAATGTCAGAAATCAGCACTGCCAAAGTCTGCCCTGGTCACTCACCCTTTCTTGTGTTTTTATTGCTGGCACACCATTCCCCTCCAACTCTTGCTTTGGATATGCAATACCATTGGTCAGGTAACAATCTAAACACTGGCCTATGTGTTTTTCTGTCTGCTGATGCAGTTTTGTCTACCTCTGGTCTAACCTAGTTTATGGTCATTTATAATTTAAATCTCAGAGGGCAGCCTTACTTCCAAGTTCTTGGGGGTTACCACACTGTCAACCCCCTTCAGTTGCCATATCACTGCCTGGAGTAAAGGACAGGGATATGCTGGGATGCCCAGCAATCGTAAGAGAAATAATACAACAGTGTGTGCATGAGGCGAAAGCCTGTTCTTGCTTCATAAAAAACAGAAGCTAGAAAACAACATTCTTACATGCTTTGCTATTTTCTCAAAATATGATATTAATTTTGATAATGCAAAACAGAACAAGCAATAGCCTGAAAGTCTGGGCGAGATCTAGATTGTTTTGATCTTAGCTCTGACACTAACTTGGCTGTCAACAAGTCCTATTTAAGTGTTGGAAAAACAGAACAAGCAATAGCCTGAAAGTCTGGGCGAGATCTGGATTGTTTTGATCTTAGCTCTGACACTAACTTGGCTGTCAACAAGTCCTATTTAAGTGTTGGCTTCTGTTAATAAAGGGATTGGACTAGATGACCACTAAAGCCCCTTCCAATCTTGACATTACATTATCCAGTGATTATTTTTCACCTAAGAACTCCTCCCCAACTTCATAAGCACCCCAAAGATCAGAACAGCTGCTGGTAAAGACCACCACAGACTTGGGAGTCTGGGTGAAGCACATCTGAAGAAATTATAGCAACACCTCAGTATTTTCATGATTACAAATGAAATCATTCAAGAGACAAACAGATGTTCTTGGGACCTGACACCAGCTAACAGAACAGACTCTCTGATCCATGGATCTTCTGGACACTTGTTAATCACTGGATGGAGGACTGAGATGCCTGGGAAATCTGGTTACGACCCAGCTCTAAGGTACCCTCTTTTGATATTCCCCAGAAGCAGGGTGTTTGTGGAAATTATTTTCCATATGTAAAATAGCCAATCATTACGACACAATATTTCCATAAGCTTTTTCCATACAACCTTTGCAGGAAGCAGTTCCCTTCTCTGTTCTTGATACTGGGAATTCAACTCTCTTCACCTCTGCTCCCCAATGCACAGATCCATGAACATAGCCTGTCACTGGTGCTAAATTACCCTCTCAAATAAGTGTTTGGCTATAGTACAAACAAACTTATTATAATCTGTTTAAAACCAAAAACAATCTCAGCTTTAATTAGTTGGTATGTTAAACTCAAAGTCATGTTTCTGTTTAAACAGTCTACAAATCCTGCTTAGACAATGGGTATCTATGAGATAAGGCCCTTCCCAGTCTGAAGGGAAATTACCGGAAAGAATAAAGACAGCCCACTTAGGGGCTTGCACTCCAGAGACACATATTTGTTTGTGCAGCAGCAACTGTCAGTATGCTAAGCACAAAAGTGTGAATTCCAAAAGATTTCTTCCCTTAGCACAAATAGGATGTTTACAAAAAAATAACCCTGAGATTTAGTTGAAAATGGGCTTTGGAATGTTTTACTACCTACCTTGAGTAGTAAGACTCCACTCCCAGGGCCTCCCGGACACTGGCAATGTGCTGCTCCAGTGCCGAGCTTGTTGCTGCTGGAAGGGTCACACTGCTGCTGGCCTGGAAGTCACTGGAGTTTTCCACTGTGTTGTCACCCAGGTAGTGCTCATAAAACTTCAGAATTCCTGAAATAAAATGGGCACAGCCAACATTACACACAACTGGGTGGGGGGAAGGATAAGTCAAAGGCAGGGGACAGGAATGCAGATGCTATGTGACTTCTTTGACAAGCATGACATCCTGCAAACTATGTGAAGAAATCCTGAAATCTAAGGTATCAAGAGGGCTTTCTGAATTTTGGTCAGTGCCCTTTTCACTGCTTTTACCATCAGGTTTGGTGGTAAACAAGGGAATTCAAGACACAGCTTTTGCCTATGGTGATATTTTCAGAAGCTCCTGGAATTAAGACTACTTCACGTGTATTTCAAAACAACTACTTCTCAGAAGCACCAACTAGGGAAAGTCTCCTTTTAGGACTAGTGTATGAGTATGCCAAGGTATATTCTTTGCAGAAGCTGAACTCCTGAACAAAAATATAATTAGCCAAGTGGAAATCATATTACAAAGACCTTTCATTTCACAAAAGCAAATCAAAATAAACATACAGCCTAAAAGCCAGATACAAACATTTTAAACCATTTTAAAATAAGACTAACTGGTCAACTGTCATTAATGGATTAAAGGAGCAAAAAATGATGGCTGTATGAAACAGGCAATCCACAGTGGTTTTCTGGCAATAAACAGGACATGTTCTCAAATGGTAATGAGGTGTGTCAGCCCTGGAAAATGCTGGTCCTCTCCGATTGGATTAGAGCTCCCAGTGAAAGCTTCAGAGCCTCATTAAGAGCCAAGAGAAACAGAAAAAGAGACAATAGGAGCCTCATTATACTAGCTCATTATCACAGGGATTGGATACACCACCAATCAAATCATGTTCCCAAGACTTAATCACCACAGAGAGAAAGAGCTTGACACCCCCCCACCCCCACCCCCGTTCCCCCTCATGAGGTTGAGTCATCAACCTCATCCTCAGGGGTATCAGTGCCCCTCTGGGAGCTGGGGGAGACAGGAATTCCACTGTGGCCAACATTGATTCACCAAGTCACTATGAAAATCACAACTCAAAACCTTTAGCATAAAAAAGGTGAGAGGTAAGAATGTTGTTGTGGAAAGCCCCTAAAGAACATGGAATTAAAGGGAAAAGATTTAAAAAAATAATAATAAAAAATAAAGGGAAAAGATTATAAAAAATAAAGTCAAAGCACAGGACACATAGGCATGAGTGCTCAGAACCCAAAAAGCATCTGGGAGCTGTCATCCGGTTGTCATTTTTTTAAAATTAAAGGGATAAAAACATAATCAAGAAAATCTTGTTAATTCTCACTGGCAGTTGAACTTTTTGAAACTGACTTACAGATATTCAAGAAGCCCATTTTTCAAGATTCCCAATTATAAGATCCACTTCCCCAGTCAATAAACTCTAATTGGGTCTGGTGTGTCTCCAACATGGTAAAGCCATCAGCATTTTATTATGCAAAAAATATGGCCCTTGCAGCTAATTAGTGGTTCTGTATTCAGTGAAACTGTTACAGCCTGAACATTTGATGCTGATTTAATTAAAGGGGATTTTTACTTCTGAAATAGATTTACACAGAATTGGTTAAAATGGGTTCTGTTAAAATCAGATATTTCAAGCATGACTTATTTATATACTGTGATAGAGTTGCCATTATCATTTTAGTTTCTTTAACCTGACCATGACAAAGGGTCACAATTATTAAATCCTATCTAGTGTAGGGAAAATAGAATAGTTTAGTCAGGCTCCCTGACTCAGGTCTGGTCGGGGGTGGTGCAGCACATTTCTTGTAAACAAGTTGTGTGTGGGTGGAATTAGTGTGCATGTGCACCCATATATCTTTTTAGTTTGTTGCTATTGTGTATTCTTCACTTTGTGAAGCAGGCTGGCCATCAGAGCTCACATCTAAAAATAGAACATGTTTACTCTGCTGGCAGCTGCTCAGTTTTACTTTGGACTTTGCCGGTAGCAGTTGAGTTCTCAGTTTTTCTTTGGACTTTGCTGGTCTTAGTTGAGTTTCTGGGTTTCCCTTTGTACTGCCTAACTCTTAGACGTGTGTGTGCTGAATAAAGACTATTCCTACTTCAACTATGGCTCCAAGGACCTTTTTCCTGTTACCTAGCTCGTAGACCTGGTGTGAAGGGTTTGTGAACAGGCTCAAGGGGTCTGTGAGCTCTAGACCCAGCCCTAGCTATACATCTAGGAAGAACTCAATAGGACTTTCAGTGATCTCTTTATTAGTTAATGAACAACAGCTGCGTACAAACAGGGCTGCTATTGAAATTAATCCTCCTGCTCTTAGTCTTCCTTTATAAATGTTTCCATGTTCACCGGCAAGGAGCAGTGACTTCTTGGCGGAATGAGAAAGCTGGGCTGTCTCATTAATTGAATGCCCCACTATGGAATATCTGCTGTGACTGAGGTTTTACTAAAACCTGACATCAGCCCCTTAGTCTGATCTATGATAATGCACCTCTTCTACCTCTATTCATTACTCTTTCACAGGTATAATGTCTATCTTAATTGCCCTGTTCCCACAGAAAGAGATCTTACCTGCCCCAGGAGCAAGCAGCCAACTATACAGGTAGCCTGCAGCCAGGGAATAGTAAAGCACCAGTCCCCGCTGGCCATTAACCATCTCTAAGATCTGATCAATAGTGACTGGGGAGTAGGGATCGGAGTCCTGTTGTCCTGTTTGTCGTTCCACGAGAAGATCAGCAAATGCCCGTGTCCGTCCTCTTTCTGCCACAGCCAAGGCTTCATCGTGATGGCCTAGGAGACACAGGGATAGGCTGAAGAGACCACAGTGAGTGTGCTTCTATCAGGTATGGCCATCAGATCCTGGGCAGAAACCTCACTGCCTCTGCTCTCCAGTGTGTGACAAAATTATCAGTCACATGAATTCAAATTCAACTCTCTGCCGATGGGGGTGGAGTAGGGGTACAGTGTCCACTCTTATGGAACCCCACATTTTTAGATTCAGTGAGACTGATTCCATACCACCCTAAGCCATTGGGCCTTCCCCTGTCTTGCAGCCAGCACCAAGAGAGAGCCAACCTAGTTAGAGCACTGGCCCTCAGCCCTGCCCATTCTCTGCTCCACATCCCAAGTTGCTTCCTGACCTGGCCATTTACGTGGCTCTCTCAATCTGATGCTCTGCACTATGGTTATCCTCTCACTTCTTGGCTCAATTTTGATTCTGATTTGTCAGTGACAGATGAAATCTGCAGGATATGTCTCCTGGCCATCTCTCTCACTTCTCAATGCAACCCTCTACGCATCACATTGTCCAGTCCCAGCTACCCATTTCCCCCCCCCCCCCCC